GTTATGCTTTTTACCATGCACATCTAATCGTCCATTATGTGTTTGGCCCTCCCTTACTCAGGCGTTGGCTGCTATGCCTGGAAGGGTCATGCTATAGCTTATGTCTACTGCAAAGCCACCGAAATACTTGCATTACCAAGATCAGTCACCAGTAGGATAAAGTGGAGGAAAGTGTGATAGCCGTGCACCCATTCACTCCCTAAGAACGCATTATGGGAGAGATGAGGCGCCCTCCCCCCACTTCTAGTTTGCGTCGGCGTAGTGAGGCTGCACACTTGCACCTCTTCCAAAAACCGTGGCTCCAGACATTGTGCAAATCGGCCCTTTTGATAACAACATCAATTATGCCGGATAGAAGGCTTTTAGTCTAAAAATACTGGCTTATACAACTTCTACTCAGCCCAATCAACGACGCAGATGGAAGAGGGAATGAGCGATTCGTGTTACAAGTTTGTTCATTGTAAATCCGTTCGATATGGTGCAATAATATGCAAAAGGAGATTTTATTACTAACGCTAAATGAGTACAGCCACAAATGTAAGACGGAATCGAGTGGGGATGATGTTGGGTTGTCTGTTCACAAAGTGGCGGCTTTTAAAATGGATGCGGTTAGCGATGTCACGGAGAGCCAGCAAGTATTCCCTTCCATCTCGCCCAACTAAAGGCATCACCATTACCATTTCAGATTAAACGGTGGGTAGGAAAATTCCCTAATTGAAGCACATCTACTATGAATGCATAGCTCATTCCTAATGCTAAACTTCCATATAGTCATTGCAATAGAGAAAATGTAGTTGCTGTTTTTGGATGTGGTTTTTAACAACGAGGTTATACAAGAGGGGCCGCTACGACTACTTGACAGAATTCAAGAAACACCCTTACCTGCTCAGATAGTTGAATTTATTTTATTTGCTTAGGCGTTGTAGACTGTAATGAAGGGTCGAGTGCTGAAACCCACCCTATCTATCAACCAGTATGGAGGAAAGGCCGTGACAGCAAAAGGCATGGATAAGGTCTTCCAACCGTCGCTGTTAGCAGGATTGACGGGGTATCACTTTGTACATCTCAAGCTGCCGCTAATGCAATTAAACGAATCGTGTCGGCTCTGCGTGCTATTGGGTCTTGTCGACTGTGCCTGGGCTTTAAGCACACTTGGCAGAGTTGTGCAGAGGTGAGTTAAGTGATGCCTTCAGACTACGACTCCTGCAGGGCAAGCGAGCTGATGTTTGACCGACGTTAAGCATATTAAAGTTTAGTTAAGTATCACCTGTAACCTAAGTGATATTACATCCTTCACCACAAACTTGTTAAATTTAAATAAAAGTTATCCCCTCTTTTGATTGAAATTTACACCATCCTTTTTATTATACACATTAATCTTTTTACTTCAACAAAGAGCTTAAACTATTTCTATACCTTAAAGGGAAGTTTTGCGGTCGTGAGCAGTGTAGGGTGACTTTGTAACCAGGCATGATGTGCTCTCTGGCACAGAACCACGACCCATTGCGTGCCCTTTAAATTAGCAATACCCAGCGTCACAACCTTCAGGGACAGAGGAAAAGTTATCTCATATGAATGTGAAGCTCATTATTTAAAGTTTCGTCGCCGAACAGAAAGTAAGCAGGACATATAAATTTGCAGGAGGGGCTGAAGCAGGGTCATTGAATGAGAAAGACTATTTTAAAAGACCAGTTGAGAAAGAGTTTGCCTCATGAGGGACTGTGGACATAAAGGGTGCGTATATTTGAGCATCCTGGCTGATGGAATTTTCGAGAGTAACGGAATAAACTAAGAGTAAGGTTTGATTTGTAGTAACAGATGCACTCGCAAGCGTTGCAGGTGGATGTTTGCATGCGGATTCGAAGGGTTGGGGAGGTATTCCTTGAAAGAAATGCGTAAAGTTCATCACAAGCAGTAGAAGTAACTGAAAGAGTTCATTGCGATTCAGCCCAATCAAGAGCACAGACACCAATAGCACAGATTGAGAACCTCAAAGAATTCCGCCTGTTGTGACTTTATTTGAAAAAGATAATGAAATTTCACTTGATAAAGAAAAATATTAAGATCCTGGGTTTGTAATGAATAATTGTCAAGTATTAAAGAAAAGTAGATGGCGAATGAGTGAGCGTTAAGCAAGGGGCGAAGATGGTAGATGATGACGGAATGCAAACGCAGATTTAATTATATGAGATCTTAGTTGTCATTTCCACAAACCTGCTGCACAATAAAGCGTCAAATGGGTGGAGTGAAATTGAGTGTATCAGTTTGATTGCCATCACCAACTTCGACTGCTCCGCTTACAAAAGGTAGAGTTGCCGCCCTGTCACACCTAATGACCATGCGGCCCAGTCAAAGTCCCGACTCAGCGCACCATTTTAAGGGAAACCCAAAACCAAAAAGTAGTTATCAAGTCAGTACTGCAGCAGAAAACGGATTTGCTTTCATGATTAAATGCTGGCAGATGTTTGCGTAAAACTAGTTTTTGAGGTCCACAATCAAAGACAAAAAGGCTTCACCTCACTGCGTAAATCAGCGATGAATCAAAAACAGTGAGATGTTTTTGCCGTTAATTTATTAAAATTTTAAAGTATCCTGAGATTGTTACACGAAGTGATTAATGTGATGATGCGAGAAGCACTAATAGAAGATAATACAGTCTGTGGGATGATGATAAATGTAAGAGCGCTTCTCCAGTAATGTGCTGGTGCGGACATACCTCAGTTTTTTCCTTCCTTCCAAACCTATGCATTTTGTGCACACCGACCGTTCAGGAGTTATTGACTTCCCTTTCGACTTTTCACTAGACGATACGCATGCAAACACCTTGTTTACTCACCCACCAATCAACCGGTCAATGTGTACTTAATGAAACACTTTTAATACACATTCGTAATTATGAGAAAGGCATTACTACCAATTTCGTTGTTGCATGTGCCTCTCCTTGACAGGACTCCTGGAATGTCGGTGACTAAAACACAAAAGTATTAAGTAGTTTTGGCGGTGTCTCATAAATACTGGCACAAAGGAGTCCAAACCTCCAAGCAAGGAGAATTCTATCGCTATCCTCAAATGGGGATGGCACGTGACTACCTGCAAAATTACCATCAACAAACGTTCAAGTTATCGCTTGTTTACAAAAATTATGGCTGTTGAGTAAAAGTGTTCTTAATCAAAACTTACAAAGTACCCTTGATGTTATAAAAGCAAAATTTTCCTTTCTTTGATTGAATTGCGCAGCATAATACAAAGGATAACTGAGTGCAGTGATTTGGGCTGGGTGCTGAGGCTTACAACAGCGGTGTCAGGCGATGCCTGTGCGCATGCGGGTTGGCATTGGGGATGGCAGGCACCAGCGTTGCCATGCGCTCCTTCAATTTTTGCTGTTACTAGCACATTTGTTGCTCAAATATATGCGTAAAGTGTATTGTGGCATTCTCCTACGAACAGTAATCCTATTTCATTTGGAACTGGCACTGCCAGATTATTGAGCTCCGAATGCTGTGAGTGACTGAACAACCGTTCCATAAATCAGGAAACAAAAATACTCGAAATTGGGCTTTACTAATCTTGATCATCGTAGTAACTGGTCTGAAAGTGAACTGTTGACACATTTGAGCCTCTCGGTGCGGAAAGCAGAGTAGACTACATTTGATTCAATCTCTCCATTAATGCAAACAGTAAAAATCAAGCAGTACAGCAGCTTTGCGAGGCGAAGTTTGTACACTTAGGAGGACTTTATTTTTAAGCTGAAAAATGGTACAAACGTACTGGTGCTTTGCAGAGCTCTCGGCAATCGGTTGACTGCAAAGGAAAACAATCGAAGAAGAATAAGTTGCACCAAAGCTGCCAAAGGGCATTGGCATATTTTTGCATGAAACCTGTTACGGAGATGCGACTATTAAACGTAAGTCCCACTAGTCAGATCAATTACTCTACAGATAGTTGATGTTCTTGTCCGTAAATTTTCAAACACAAACGTGCTCTCAAATTCTGTCTGGATTGCCACTTTTGCAGAGGTTTATCAGTTTCACTTCATCAGGGTCTCTACTCCCATTAATGGAATTATAAATTATGCAAAAATTGTGTTCACTCACACTTTAATGACGGGAAAATCCTCGTCCTCCTCGCTAAAAGAGAATTGACAAATTAGGAATAGCAAAACTGCAAAATGGTTATGTTAGTTCGCCTTTTGCATATCAATTATTCGAGTTGAAAACTCGTCCTATGATTTGTCAACTGTAATCGCCTGGTGTTAAGTCTCTCTGTTGGAGACACGCTTAGATGGATTGAGCCTTCTAAACATAATGCACGCCTTGTTCGTATCCCATCCCGATGTGATTCTTTGCAGCTAATTCTATCAGTAGAGATAGTGGTGTAACAATGGCGCATACCAAGTTTCTGCCAACCCCAACACACTTTATCTTGCCTTTTTGTAATACGTCATAAATGCGAGTTTCATAACAGTGTGTTGTGTCAAATGTCCTGAAAGAGCAATGGGTATGGCCGTTTAACAAATGTTTTCTCTCTACGTGCATGTGTCTCTGGCGTCGTTGACGGTGATGGAAAAAATACTTTTCCATTCACCACCGAGTGCACTCTCAAGTTCAACTAAAAATGCCAACGAAGTACACAACGTTACTTTGGTAAACTAAGCCTCTGATACGGAAATCCGCAGTGTGATCCCCCAATCACAGCCAATCGTGTTGATGGAAGCATGATATCAGGGAAATGTAACCACTAATGTCAACGCCAAAAAAGTTTGCAAAAATTATGGCAACCATTCCAAGTAGACTTCTGCATTAACACATGTAAATGCATTTTCGAATATGAAAATCCCTTTTGTGAAATTTTGGTCACTCCTTAAGTAATGCGCACTAACTCTGTTGACTTTCGTTAGCCAAGTCGTCCAACATTCGCTCTCACCGCTAGAATCACACACAGTGAATTTACAGACAATAATGTTTTCATTTGCATTTTTGAGTTGGGTGAATGCCCAACCACCTATCGTATTAAATCACGATCCCTTCCACATGTGTCTGGTGGATCTGCATTTACCTCATAAAATGGAAGGTTGAAATAGGTGGACAAGGACCAAATTAGGCAATTTTCGTGAAAAAGAACAAGAAAATAAACCATCGTTCGAGGACTTCTGACATACTTTGTGCTCATTAAGCACCATATACCGCTTAGACCGATCTTAACACCCCTAGTGAAAGTCTTTCTAGCAGTTCCAAAATGCTTGCCTTCAACAATTTTCGTGATGCGCCATGAGGGCTGTTTTGAAAAGGAGATATTAGGTTCATTAACCTTTCCACTAAACTTCCTGTGCGAAGCAGTAGAGAAGTAAACCGCGAGCATGAAGTGATTGGTAGCATTTTCAATTGGAAATGCAGAAACGAACTTTATTTCTATTCGCTTACTCACGGTAGTTTAATTCGAACCTTATGGCATTGAACGTTTGTTTTAAACACTATGGCCATCATCACACGTTCCTCGTGCAGTTATGCCCACCACTGTGGACACTGAAAGGAGTGTGCACACAAAACTAAAGTTCTGATCGGGGTAAGTCCACACAATACTTGCCAACTCATATCACCTAGCATAGTTGCACCAAATTGTTTACGTGCGTTTCTCGGCCAACCATAAACATCGCGCAACTTTACCCCTAAATCGAAGTCAGGAAAGGAGTCAAGGCAAACATTTTCGCTCATCGCAAAACAAATAATACAGGTACTATAGACAAAACTTTTAAAGCAAGTTTTCGGTTTTTGCAGAGGCGAAAGCCCTTTAGTTGAAAGCGCGCTGTGTGCAAAGAAAGCGGCTCAAAACTATCAAGCGGTAACATTTTTTTGCAAAATTAGATATGCCAAAGGCTATGTGCACATTAATTAGTCAAGATTTCACCTGACATCCCAAAGTAGCAGATCTATTTTCGATAAACCCTGTGTACATACTTCGTTGAACCAGTTTCATCTTCCAATACGCTAGAGTCCGTGGAGAAAGGCCGAATTTTTGAAGATCTAAAGGCTTTCCTTGAAACCACGTATACGCGGCCGTCATCACGCTGATGCCTTGTGTCAAGCCCCTCCTCAACGATGATGTTGGTAAGGAGACGCAGCTTGCCAAAGTGGCGTGGTCGTGAGACTTCAATAGTGCGTGGTGCTTCGACTTCAAGAACTTTCTGATGCCTTGAATCGGATTCATCCTTGACTGACTCCACTGAAGTGTCCGCGTTATGTTTCATATCTACATTAGTGTCCGATGAAACTGATGTGGTTGAAGGAGAGGATCGAAGCCTGCCAACTTCCTTGTTAGCGATTTCATCCTTCGTTTGGACTGGAACCTCCATGCCTGATGCTGGTGATGAGCTCTCGTGACCATTGATCGTCTCGTCGACTAGTTTCACAGCCACCTCTTCGTAGCCCTCCTCAGTTTGCATCTCAGGCGTGGAGACACCGTTGGTAGCAGGTTGCTCGGTTTCAGGCGCTTCGTAAGTGTCGGAAGTAGAAGGTATTGGTGAATTCTCTTCTCGGGGTTGATCCGATGCTGGAGGATAGGCGAAATTACGTGCAAAGAGGAAATCGTAAAGTTGTTTTAATGGTTCGTTGCCAGGTGCATGAAGAACCTCGAAGCGCGAAGGTCCATTGCTGGAAGAGATTTCAAGAACCGCATAATTGGGGTCAGAAGGAAAAACGTGAACATTTACAATTGCACTTAGACCAAAGTCCTTCCCCATCGTTTCATTGTCAGTTCTAAAGATGACTTGATCACCTCTTTTTTCTAAGACTATGGGCATGACTATATCCGAATCTTTCATGTCCTCCAGACATATGTAAGCGTTGCGAACGGAAAAGTTGCTCTGTTGGAAGGTGTTGCGTCCACCCAGCCATTCCAGATGGATGGGGAAAATGTGACCTTCGACCTGTTGAGGCATATTGCAGGGGCGCTTTTTGATAAAGATGTAAGTGAGAGAGCGATTAAATAGACTCCCGCTTATTGGTTACGTAAGCCTGGGTGTGTGCTCGCATGCAGTTGAAGACATGTGGAGTGGTGTTTGTCGCACACTCAGTGTGACAAACCAAAAGTGCCACCATCGAATGCTTGTAATTTGATGGGATGATTGCCATCGATCGCGGTCCCCTCCGCCTTGCACAACGCTTCAGTTGTGAGCACTCAATCAGCTCTGGCGTTACAAAATGAATGTCACGCCAACCTATAGCAGAAAAGTTGTTTTTATTACCCTTTGAGGAAAAATTTTCCATCACCCCCTAATCACATTGGCATTCAACGAAGAAGCATGGAATATGCGGTTTGACACATAAAAGGTTAATATATTTGCAACTCCTCATAACCGAACAGTCTGTTATCGGAGGTGGAGCATAATATGCTAGCACAAGGGAAGTGCATTATTTGCAAGCTTCTAAGTCACATCGGTTCTAGTCAACAAAGTGGTTAGTAGGCAAAAGGCATCCACATACTAACACGGTTGTGTGGAGCGGTCGATCTCTTGAGTAATTTTGAAACTGATCTTTGTTTTAACTGTTTCCAGTATCTTACTTAAAGGCAGGACTTTGTGGGCGTCTCAGGTTGCTGATCAGTTCGAAGAAGGAATTGCGGGAATCGCGATAGTTTTGTGGATAGCAGTTACATAACCCTTTAATGGTTTTATTTTGGTAAATGAGTTGTTAAGTGACACTTGGAACTACTTCCTTTTCTGAATTATTTTCACAAATGCCAGTACCAATTTTGAAATTGCATGCGAACGCAAACGATAGTTCAAAAAAATGAGCCTGCAATAAAGTAGTGCTGCCTGGGCATAGGTTTACTTAAAGGCATTGAAATTCATCCATTCTATTAGCATGCACTAAAATCTCACAGCATTACAAATTTTTGTTCGGAAACACTATACTCATGAGAATAAAATTTGACGAGTGAATGGCTGCTCAATGTAGATGTGATGTAACAAAAAGGCGATGTTTCTCTGCTAGGACCTACTCAACGGAAATGGCTACAAACGCCCTATCACTGGCAATCCTGCAGCCTCGTGAGCCTCTCGTCGTTCGTCCCACACAGAAACGAGGTAATATCACAATATCACAATTGTACTGCCTATACTCTCCTGCCATTTATGTGTCGGTTTTGGGATGGATGGATGGTTTGCCAGCCATCCATCCCAAAAATCAAAGACGGTTCGTCCAGATTAATTTGAATTTCAGTAACTACACGCCGCACTGATAAATATTTTAGAAATGGCATTCACTTATTAGGGCGTGAGCCTTGATTTTCACACAGACGCCGAAAAATTATTTCATTTACAATCCTATTGAGAATAAGTAATTAGCGTTCGCGCACACAAGAAAATAGGCATTCAGCCTCCCCTACCGCTTTAAAGCCATAGTATTTCTACCAAACTGCTTAATCTCGTCACTTTTTCACTTAATTGCTCATATCTCCGTCTTGAAGTTCAATTATGTGATGACTCAATGAGTCAAAAACAGACATGTGACCACTGGCATTTTACACCTCCGCCTCTATATACTTGCAATGACGGTCTTTTCGCAGCATAAATTTGCAAAATCATCCCACTCACCCGCTTCAAAACTAAGCGTTGTTCTGTTATTTAAATTTCAAGATCAAATAATTAAAAACTAAATTGCTGTAGGATGCTTTGACATTTAAATCGTACGAATATATGCACTGGCAATATTTATTCAAATCGCTCACCATGAAAG